GTTTCCAGACTTGTAATGGAGATAGCTGAAGAGCCCATGAAATAATAGGAAGCTACGCAAATATGAAATCATTACTTTGGTTCTCTATAATTTTATTTGCTTACAGTCTAGAACACTGAGACCTAGATAAAATATGACACATGAAGTTCGAAATGTACGACACTGAGCAAATTACATAAAAGTAATGATATATGTGTCAGTCAGTTCGCCCCAATGCACATTCGCCCCAGACCAGTTCGCCCCAAAGTCGGTTCGCCCCAAGTTTACTGGTGTTCGTTTTCGCGGTTATGCGTGCAAGGAAATGTGGTTTTGAAATATTTTAAAAATTATACTTAAGTAAAAACCACATCGAAGGAGGCTGATCGCCGCGATTGTAGCATATCGCCCGAAGAGTCGAACCGGTGTCGTGCCATATGCGTCGTGATAGCGATACTTTGCCTTTTTTTTGCCATGCGCTGTGATAGCGATTTTTTGCCCCTTTTTCGATTGACTTATCTCCCCTGGCTTGCCTTACAAACATGAATGAACCAACCAATCAATCGGTGTTGTGTGGTTTCGGCGTTCCAGTTTTAACGCACGGATTAAAAATACGGTCCCGCCATCTTGAACGTTCCATTCAAAAGGGGGTGGTGTGTGTCACAAGGACTGTGGTCACGCTAAAGGAATCACGAGACTTGTTATAATTATATATACAACGTAGTTATATTAACATTGTACACGTATTATATTTGTTTAGTTTTCAGAAGTGAAGAATTGTTATTAAGGGTTTATGAATGCAAGAACACAGTATTCATTTTGAAAAAATAAAACGTAGTAGTATTCTGTGTGTTTGTTCTCTGCCATTGTTGGCTCTACATTGCGTGATAGTAGTACACCATGCACACACCATCAAAAAGGTGTGACCGCGACACCTTTCCAGTACCGAATAACACCTATTAAACTGGGCGTCTAGAAGACCCAGTAACGTGGAGCTTTGTGACATGAAGTTGTGGTACAGCAACAACCAATTTATTTGTAGTCCATTGTATACATGTATGTGTTTTACATTCATTTTGTGACGTACACCGTTATTCAAGTCCAGGGGAAATGTTGGAAATCATATTTGATTCTCAAAAATAAATATTACTCTGCAGTTTGTGCGCATACCTAGTATATCGCGAAACAATTGACCACACCCACTATTAGACCATTAACGGTACATGACTCGTACCGCCCATGATCGGCTTTGTATGAGTACATGAGAAGGGCCGCCCGTTAATCGATCTGACAGCTTGCACAATCACCCATTAGATAAGACGCACGCCGCTCATCGATCTATGTTTTGTATCAACACTCCAGTATCTATTAGGTAAGTGTTAAGTATAAGAGTGGTTAGCGCATATTAAATATGCAAATTTGCAATTTCCAATATATAATCCAAATATCCAATCAGCGTGATTTGAAGGGTATAAAGTCTAACAATTTCTAGGGTACTGCAAACACTCTGATTGATTTATCATCAAGTGAACATACGGCATACCTCTCTCAGCAGCTACGCTCTGACTAGACGATATTTACCTACCACGGTATTGTGACCCACCCATAGTCATACTATTGTACCCAGCACGTTATCCTATCCATCGACAGCAAATTCTATTTCCATTTTCGATTATATTTTGTATTGTCAACCGCTGATCGACAGACTAAGATTCTATTTCGATAATCAAGATTCATTGTTAATCTCAAACTCTATTTCGTTTATCAACTAAGAACTAAATTCAATTTAGTCAATCTCAAATTCTATTTCGATTCTATTACCACTGTTTAGCAAACATTTGTATACGATACCGAACAGTACTGCACAATTTCATTTGTATCTAGTTTGTATTTTCACAGGAATATATATCATCATGAATACCAGACACCAGGAAAGCCGCCGTATCGCAGTAGTAAGATGTCCATTAATTAATCATTCCTTTCGATATCTTTACAGGTGTTCGCGTATGTTGAGAGACAGTGGATATTGTCATCCGTGATGCCGCCCTCCACATGGTCTTGTTACTTACAGAGCGTGAGGACAAATAATGATGTGGTGGGTTGGCATTCACGCCTTATTAAGAAAGGGAAGAAAGCCAACTGCCATTTGCTACCATCATCAACGTGCATGTTCGATTGAAGATCGATTCGACCTTTCGATAAACTATTCAAAGCTCGTCCAGTTTACGGATCTCATCGAAGCCTGAACGGAAAGATTGCTGGCTGCTTTGACCTGTGAACGCCAATTATAAAATCTATCGGGTCGGAGAGTGTCGTACGGACTAATAGGTCAAACGAGTCTGCGATCATAGCACACGGCACAGCACGGGTTCGGGCGATATGCTACAATCATGAATCGCGGCGATCAGCGTCCTTCGATGTGGCTTTACTTTAGTATAATTTTTAAAATATTTCAAAACCACATTTCCTTGCACGCATAACCGCGAAAACGAACACCAGTAAACTTGGGGCGAACCGACTTTGGGGCGAACTGACTGTGGGGCGAACTGGTCTGGGGCGAATGTGCATTGGGGCGAACTGACTGTGAATCCTACATATGACGCTGTAAGGAGAAGGTCCACCCCAACCTTTTCTCGTTGTTTTCACGGCTTTCGTCTACTGACGTCACACCTTCGGATCGTTTGGAAAAGTGTGAATACTTACACTATGACTATACGTATTACTGCAACCGCCCACAACACAACGTTTAACCATCACAAACGTTTGTTCTGAAAACAACTTCTAAAAACTCTATCTCAAAAAAAAAAAAAATTGACAAAAAAAAGAAATGCCGACCGAAAAATGTATATCGTTTAAAAGTATGTTGAATCACGCAGTGTTATACAAGTACAGCTCAGGAGTATGGCTTCCTCTCATATTTTGGCATTTGGTGGCGCACTTTCGGCGAGAGTCGGAAATCCGGAAACAGTTGACCGTTTCAGGATAGGTGGGCGTGGCTACAGCACGAGATATATCTTAAATTTACTTTGATAGGAGTAACCATTTTGACAAAAAAAATCAATAACTGCCCACTTCAGTAGGACACGGATCTAAAATAGTTAACGTGAGAGTGGGCATTGCACAGGCACTTTAAGTGATAGTCTGTTGATAGAGAGTTTGTTGTGACAGTCTTTGAAAATCACATATATAAGCATATTTGGATAAAGATAATCATTATTTGGACTTAAATCAAGCGTTTCTAAAATGGCTCCAGGAAAGGTCCTGCCAGAGTCTTTTGTTAGTGCACAGGGAAGTTCCCTTCATTTCTGAATTGTCTCTACTTTGTGCTAATTATTTACATATTTTTAGTTCTTGTGAATGTTTATTTTTGTTTTTGATGACAAAAAATCATTCATTAAAGATATATTTTGTTTGGAATTCACTTGTCTCCCGAATAAGATATGCATCATGATCGGGATGCATCTTCAGTTTGAATATAGCCAAAAAACACCTGGCTTTTGGGGGGGGGGGGTAAGAGTTCCTTAGGGCCCCCTCCCCCTACAACTCTAATCCTAACCTTGCCACTCCAGTGCCCCTCCCACATTTTAACTGCATATACTCCTCGTCAGGACATGTTATCAGGAAGGTACAGTTATATTGGGCTGAGTGTTAGGGGGAACTCTCCCTGGAATTTCTGGACAATGTCAAAAACAACTCACATTTGTTCCAGCGTAGGTTCCTGTGTAAATTTGAATTCTGTCGGGGTGGAAGTCTTCGCCTCAATTTCTATGTCTGACGGCGGTTCGAAAGCGTTTTGTCCATTGCAAGTGGTTGTGTCAAACCCCAAGTCCTTCACACATTTAGGTCGCTTGGACTTCGGCGTGCCTGGTGACATAGCATTCGTGGCCATCATGGTTTTATTTCAAAAGACAGACCAAAATTACTGCTGTTTACTCGAATCAGTCGGTCACAAAACTCCCGCGAAATATCTGCACATGCGCAGGAATATTTGAACTTTGACCAGGACGCTCAAAAAAGTTATCGTTATCCACATAAGAATATTGGGTTATAGAATTATTGTAATTTTAAACCAAGTGTATCACTAGTAGCATATATTTTCAGACTAGAAAAACATAATTACCTGTGGCATATGTTATTATTTCATAATACAGAAGGATAACGATATATTGGCAGTGAACCTAATATTTAAATTTGTGTTGCTTTGTTCGGTAAAAGTCGAAAATTGTCGGAAACCCGATGTACGTGCGTGGGGGTTATTTCGGGTCATACCCAGGGTGCTTTGCGAGGAGACTTGAAATCCAAAATGGCCACCGTAAGACTTTTATACTCGCCGAGAACCGGTAATTTCTTAACATTTGTTTAATACGAGGGGAAACTGTTTTTGTTGCAATCTTGCTCGTTTTGCAAAGAAAAATAATTTGTCGGATTATGAACAACTACATGTATACTCAAGTTTGCGTTGCTGTTTTAGATGCACGATTTTAAGATAGTTATCGTTGTTCAAAAGATACTACTGCTAATACTATTTGGCTTTTGAAAATGTAAACTAGTTAATTGTTTTGATAATTGTTTTTTATTTGTTTTCTACTTATTTGTTCCGACAGTCTCAAAGCTCCTCCAGCATGGCCTTAGACCATGTAGTATTGCATCTACAAGAAGCCAGTACAGTAAGTGATTGATGTGTTATTGAAACATTCTCTAACATTTATTAGGCACACTACTATAACTAGCTATACATCATGTCATAGCAATGTTGTCTGACGACCAATTTTGCTATTATCGGTTTTGACTATTCCCAATATTGTTAACACTGTTTTTAACCAACAATTTGTTGAACATAGCAAGTCTGTAGTCATTTGGTTGTAGCTAGAAAACAAAGACAGATAAAAAAAAACAAGATACTATCTTACAGTGTTACAAACACCTTGGCAATTCACAGGTAATTCGTGCACAATAATGAATTTGGCTTGTCAGGTAATCCCTTATACAGACATTGGTTTGACATATGTCCTACATGTATTCACTTGCAATATTTATCTTAGCTTTCACATAATGTACTTATATACTAGAAGTTGTTACTGTAGCATGCTTAGTAATAATAATAATAATAATAATATTATTTATTAAGCCTTCGGAACAGCAACAAAATAAAAGAAGAAACGAAAAAAACATACATATCTGAAACTGAATAAAAATAAAGTAAAATTGACAATAGATCTCATGGTGAATTCATACTACTTTCATTTCTGTGTTTACAAAGATGTTTAAGAAATTTTCGTACCTCTTTAAAAACATTGTCCCCCAACTCATAATTCATATTCCATGGAATGTCACCAAAAAGCAAATTAAACTTGAAATTCATTCCCCTGAGAGAAGGCAATTCGTTTGGCCGTCATCGATATTTGAAACTATTTTGATCAAATCAGAGTAAAATTTATTAAGTGGAATGTTGCATTGCATAGAAATAGGAAATGATATACATCTTCTGTGCCACCATGACACAACTTATAAATGCCATTTCCTTTGTAATTTAACCATTTTAGTTTATTTCCTTCTAAATCCAGTAACTTTTAAAGCATGTCTTGCAGACGAGATCTCCTGTTGTAGTTGGTTTGATGTATGTGAGCTGCTAACTGCGAGAAGTTGTGATGACACAAAATGCTTTTACAATACATTTTATTTTAATTAACCTCATCATGTCCTTTGAGTCAACACCAATATCACCTAACTTTTGTCCCCTTTTACAAAATCAGTGTTTTTTAGTCCCCGTTCGGACGCAGTCCGAAAACGGGGACTTATGTTTTGCCCTGTGTGCGTCCGTGCGTCCGTGATCACCTGTATCTCGAACATGCATGGACCGATTAAGTTCAAACTTCACTCATACATCACACATTATATGGGACATATGCACATGCATTTTTTTCATGATCCGATTAACGATAGCCGAATAGCGGCCATTTTAAGGCCGAAAATGCATCAAAATCACACATTTTCACCATTCCGGACCCGTATCTCAGTTATGCATGGATGGATTTTGTTCAAATTTGGTACATACATTAAACATAATAGGACCTTGATGCACGTCTTTTTTTTTTTCGTATCAAGTTCGAAATGGCCGACTGGCGGCCATTTTGTTAAATAATTCAGTTCTGGATCCGTATCCAAGACATGTCTGGATTGATCAAGTTCAAACTTCACACACACATGGTACATCATGTCACAAATAGATATGTGCCTTTGTTTCATGATCTGCTTAACAATAGCGAAATGATGGCCATTTTAAGGCTGAAAATGCATCAAAATCACGTATTTTCACAATTCCAGAACCGGATCTCAGTCATGCATGGATGGATTTTGTTCAGATTTAGCACAATGTGTTGTACATATGCAGGTGCATTTCGGTCATGATCTGCTTTGAATGTATATGTCACTCAAATATGAACGGAACGGGGACGTGTCATTGACAATGACTTGTCATATTTTGTTTTAAGATTTTGAACAAGACCTATAAGCGTTGGGAAATTAAGTTAGTAATTATTGAATAGAAATATATACAAAAGTGTACAATATCTAATGCTTTACCAATATTTTGGTGGCAAAGAGTTTAAACATTGACTCTTTCATTAATCCTTGCATTGTGTCTCTCAGCTTTATCCCCTGGCATGTTGCTAGAGGGGGATATAGTGGTTACCAGCAGCCGTACGTATGTACGGAGTCACCTCACAAGCAATATTGCAGACAGAAACATTTACACAGTGTTATATTGAAGAAATTGCAAACTAGATCTGATCAACACATGTCATGACCATATATTGTCATGTGACCTAATTAAAAATGCATAAATATCATTTCTGTAGCACTGTTGGATTCGCATTCAACCAGTGCTTTATTGAAGACATTGGGCTCTTTATCTGATTAATATATTTAATAAGCATATATTATTTACCGGTAGTAGCTTTGCAATGAGTGGCTTGCACGGTAAATGGGTTTTTTAGCGGGTAGCTTTCTGGGGAGTAGAGCTTTGTTGCAGTAACTGGTCCTTTCATCATTGTTGAAAATTAAAGTTTTATGTTCCTTTAGCAACTGGTGCTATTCTGAGAATACCATCTTTAGGAGTTGTTAATTTGTCCTTGCGATTTGTACAGTTGCTCTGACATTATATTTCACAACATGTACAGTATTAATGAGGGTGTCATACACCCTGATAAGCGAGGATGAAAACCGTGTTTATGCTATAAAAAACATACTAACGCTTTTAGGTTCATGTGCGGCAAGTTACAGAGCACATACCTAAGCTGTCATTCTTCAGCAAATGATTTAGCCCAGGCATTATCCGTGTCAAAATTGTGAAACTATCCTTTTTTACGCAATCTTGGAAGTCAGAAATACTAAACAAAGTACAGGATGACGAGTATATCTCAAAAGTAAACATTTGTGGTATATTTTTGTCTAAATAATAATTTGTTACTACTCTGAATATCCAAACATATTTTAATATGAGGTAGTAATAATTAGTTTCTCTGAAGATAGTTCCAAGTTGGGGGGGGGGGGTATCTCTGATGGCTTTCCTGTTTACATAACATTACTTCTAATTTCTATATTATTGTATGCATAATAATTACCCAAAAATTGTGTCATAATTCAATGTAACTGTGTTATCATTATTGTAAATGTGCATTCAAGCAGCATTTCCTCTTGCAATCATGCATGTCTCATTGTATTATTACACACATGTTGAGTTGAGTTGAATTCTGCAATCATCAATGTAACATTTCTTCTTTAGAAATGGTTAATGCCCAAGAAGTGGATACAAGCTTTAGAGCTGTGACAGACAGAGTGGCCAGAACTTTGTTTTTAGGGGAATTGATGAGGGGTAAGTTTTTAAAAATGCACATTTCTCAATACAGTCAGTACTATATTTAAAGAGCATAGTCTTTAGTCATATCCAAGTGAATTAGGTCATGTGTTACCATGGTCTGATTTTTGTATTAATCTGGAAAACAAAATCCGTTCAGAAGCTCAGTAGAAACCAATGTACGTTGCACGGCAAATGTGATATCCCAGAGTTCAATGCGTTTTGTACCATCCAATATACACTTTATCTCCGCACGAGGGCGCAATTTCAAATTGAAAGAAAAACCAGCATACACGCTATTACCATTCTATGACCTCAATTGACCCACCAGCCTCATTCCCAACTTGATACTGGAATTCTCATTTTTTT